AAGTTGACAACACAAGCTTTGTTTTGCTATTACTTAATGTTCACTGGTTTGGTTTGCTTGTTTCATTTTTATGAAGAAAATCTTGCATGTTAGAGGAAATACTAACAAACTATCTGCTTTAACTAGTTAAGAATCCTGTGGACCTGGAGAGACGACACAGCAGGTAAAAGTGTTTGCTGGTCTTCCATAGCTTGGTTCCCAGAACCCATGTTGGATAGATCATAACTGCCGTAACTCCAGCTCCAGGGGAGCCAACATCCTCTTCTGGCCTCTTCGGGCACCTGCACACACATAGCATGCATTCACACAGACACAAACACATAAATTAAATAAAAAAAATCCAGATCAAAATAGCAATCAATTTGGATAGCCAAATATTAAAACTTACCACAAAGTTCCTATAATTATAGTTTTCCAGATAAATCAGTGGAACAGAAGAACAAGAGGCAAGTTTCAATATATGATAGAGGCAACATCTCAAGTCAACAACAAAATAATGGTTCATTTGATAAAAATAAATGTGTCCGCTGCTTTATTGACTAAGCAATTCTGTAAGAGTCAATAAACCAACTGGTAAAAATTGAGTTTGTCCTTACTCCTCACCTGTACACAAAAGTTGAACAAAAAGATTTTAAAAATTGAGTCAACACTTAAGATAATCTGAGGTTCTGAAAGGATATCTGACAAGATCCCCAAAGCTGGAATCATTAAGAAAAAGAATGATCCATTTATATAAACAGAAAGTGGAAAAGTGCTTACTCACCACATCTGTAGGCATTACAAAATTTGGAAAAGATAGAAAACAGAAGCTTCTTATACCTGATTGAGAGTTATTAAAAATTAATAAGGAATAAATAATCCAAAACAAAAATGATCAATTTATGAGAAAAGGCAAAGAAAAAATATATGCTATCATAATAAATAAAGCAAAATGGTAATTTGCTCAGTTAGTTTATTATTTATAAGCAGAAGGAAAATAAAATATTTTCTTTGTCAAGTGGAAAAACACTAAATACTATGAGGTCTCACCGATTGCTACAGTCCAGATACTGGCTCCAAAGACCATGTGTTGAAGGCTTGGTCGCCAGTCTGCAGTGCTATTAAAAAGTGTTGGGATCTTTAGGAGGCTGGGCCTGGAGTCCACACACTACTAACACCCCACACCTCAATCCTACACATCCAGTCAGTCCTACACAAAGAACTCACACCTATACTACCACACCTCCCGACACCACTTACACCCCACACATAGCACCTGTCCATACCCCATACCCACTACCTCTCCTCACCCCACACCCACTACCTAGCCTCACTCCACACTTCTCACACTACTATCTAAACCCTATACACCACCTACCCACATATCATACTTAGTTCACACATAGTACTACCCATACCCATACATACCACCCACCCATATTCAACACACACCACCTACCTACATCCTCTACAGCCACCTAACTACACCTCAAATATACCATTTACCCACACCCCACACAAGCGACCTATCCACACCCCACACCCACTGCCAACACACACCCTGCATACACTGTGTACCCACTACCCAGCACACTATTTACTCATACCCCACATAGTCATAGCCAAAAATCTTCAGTTTCTGCAACTCAGATAACTCCTCCACTTCTTGCTGGTAACTCTACACTGTCATTTAAGCTGCCACGATACTCTGAAGTTCTTCAGTTCTATCAGTCTGTTGACTTTTAATGTTGGTTTCCTTTTTTGGTTACTGACTTGATGCTTCCTTAAGTAACCACAAAGCTACAAAGGATCTTACCTAAAATGTTTCTTTTTCAAAGTCACAGTGTCATCCCAGATGCCACTTTATGACCATCATACCATAGTTGTCACTAAGGTTAATATTAAAGTAAAAGTAAAGGCAAGACATAAGGGCACAGGGAACGAACATTACTGAGGAAGACTCTCAAGTCAGAGGGCAGTGAATAACTCACCAACAGCCTTGGACTGTGGCATCCTCAAAGGCCCAGGCAATAAAAAAGTCTGCCATGGGAGCTCTCATTAGCAGAGGGCATGGGGAAATACTTCAGGCACCATAAAAACCACACATTGGTCATGTTCAGTAAATCATGCTACAATGATTTATTAAGTGACATATACACCTGTGTCTACAGTCCATTCTGAAGGTCATTCTCTAACTTCGATGAAGAAGGATAAATCAATCAGCATACCATAGCTGTACAGCACTATCCATTCAACTAATCCCACTAACTCCTGTAGTATATGCCGAGATAGGACTTCATGGGAGCCAGATCCGAGATTCCATGAGGCATGTGCCTGTCCTTGGGTCGAGAGGATTCAACACAGGTAAAACGTATGTGACATCATGATAATGAAGAACTAGAGAGCACATTTGGAACACTCTAGAAGTAGTGTGCCAGCCACCTTCCCGAAAGAAGTGGTCCAGTGACTCTCAAACTGTATACTGGCAATGAGCAGGCTGCCATGTCCCTCCCTCCATTTTTAATCAGTTGCATCTACTTAAATTTTATGTAAGATTTAATTTAAAGGAGTCTACTCTAAAAGGGAGAGAGAAAGGAGAAAGGACATGGATTCAATAATCTAGTTTAATAGCTTCATTATGTGTATGTATGAAATATATGCAAAAAAGTAATATACGCAGATCACACAGTGAATTACAAGCATGCAACTGCCTCTGCCTGCTTTAGTCGACAGTTCTTTTTCTTTTCTTTTTAATTTACATTAAGCCTGCAGAGTAAGCTACAAAAAACAAACATTTGAATGTCAGTGGGAAAAGCTAATCAGTGAGCATTAGCACCGTGTTCACAGAGGAATCTGGAACCTTTTCTCAGCTAGTCTGAGAATGTATACCACCACTTGGCTGGAGCAGCTAGCAGGCCTGTCCCCTTCCCTCTCCTAGTCACCACATCCCAGCTCTGCAGGCAGAGGCCATGGCTGCAAGACTTTCTGTTTCATGTTGCTCAAGATTTGGAAAGGGCTTGCTTAGAACAGTGAAGAAGAAAACCCCAGACTGGTTCCGTGTGCTGTGGACAGAAAGAACAGGCAGCCTCCAAGGAGCACAAATATTTCAGGGGGAACATTGGAGCTTTTAGAAACCAAAAAAATACATCAATTTGGCCTCTAGTATTGGCTGGGAAAAAAAGAGAGTATAAATCCAAAATTCCAAAGTAACCCAATACCAACAAAGAAACCTTTATCTCTCTTCCAACTATTAAGTGCTGTATAACACTTCCACACACCAAATTCATCAGAAATGCAAATAAACTGTTTATTCTGTTCTTTCCCTGGAAACTGACATTTATTTTCACATAGTACCAGCTCTATACAAATCACACACACACACACACACACACACACACACACACACAAACTAAAAATGGACTTTATCAGCCAGACATGGTTTTTCCTGCAGGCTACAGTATCTAAGAAAATCTCTAACTTGGCTGCATTTGTAGAATTGTCACCCTTCCCCACTCTACCCTCCTCCTCTGATACACAAGAAGAAAGCTTGCTCAAAGGGGTTGTGCAAAGTCTCTCTCTCTCTCTCTCTCTCTCTCTCTCTCTCTCTCTCTCTCCCCCTCCCTTCCTCTCTCCCTCCTCCACTATTCTTATTTATGATCCCTGAAATGTTCCCAGGTTCTCAGTAAGCTGCTGGCCAGGAGCTCCTATCAAGGCACCCTGTGTCCAGGCTTCTTCCTGCAGGGAAGACTCCAGGGATGCTAGTGATCATAGGAAGGAAAAGTCCAGCCTCTGCTGACCCTCCCCACCAGGGAAAGGTGGTAGTGGAAGCTTGTTTGCTAGGAGATAGGATGAATAACTGGTTATATACACTGCCTCTCAACAACTCCTGGGAACTCCTCCTGTCATGCATAACATCACAATAGAACCAGGCAGTGAAGCCCCCAATCACAGTCATAAGAGCAGCTGCGTGGTCCCACCAGCTCCCAATTAAATCGCCGGATCCATAAAGAAAATGGTGTAAATTCTGCAAGACAGACCTATGTCGTTTATAGTAGAGGCTCGACTTATCTACTCCCTCTGGTCTTGGCAAACGTTACTTAATTTCCACTGAAAATGGTATCTAACTGCAACCACCTTCCCCCACTGCGCGTACAGTCCTTGAACACAACCACTACTTCTCAACAAACAATGCTGGCTTGAATGCCATTAGTTACACTACGTCTGGGGAGGCTTCCCGCAGAGGGGGTGAACGACTACTTTGCTGGTTTGGTGGCCCCAAAGAGTACTTGACTTGGCAGGGATGGTGGCAGAGCAGCTGGGGAAGGCTGCATAGGCATTCTAGCATGTGAATGAATGGCATGCCCCGCCGCCAGCTAGGCCTGGCTTGCACGTTTTCTGGCAGGTGAAGTTGAACATCCTTATCTCCCCTCGAAGACAGACTCACCCATTCCACATATGTGACTGGAAATCTCAATTTAAGAATAGGATGCGCCGGTCGGTCCTTCTGAGGTTTGTCCAGCTTTCCCTTACTTTGCGTCCCTGATGTGCCAGGCTTTTTACACAGACAGCTTACCTCTTTAACCCTTAAAACACCGTTTTCTGAAAGGAATTCTCAACCAGGAAAACTTGCCCCGAACTGCATAGTGTTTGGTTGTTGTTTTTCTTCCTCTGTCTGTTAACCCTCCACCAGGTATGATCAAGCCTGGCACTTGCCACACACACACGCATGCATACACACACGCGCGCGCACACGCACACACGTGCACACCACACAAGCGCGCGCGCACATGCACACGCACATCTCTTTCTACTACAGTACCTGGCACAGCGAAAAGTCCCCGCGCCCTGCGGGCCCGCAGTGATGGGGACCTAGCGAAGTCCGGGAGAAATGCCCGCAGCCTGGGATCTCACCCCTGCGCGCTCCTGGCACCCGAGCGGCGGCCCACAGCGGTCATACACGCACACGCACACACGCACATGTGCGCTGGAGTCCCCGCAGGTCTCAGACTCTCCAAAGTTACCTCCGAGGCTGCTTCAGCTCGGGCTCCCACACCTCCGCCGCTTTCGTGCGTCTCTGGGGCGGTGGTCCACACCGCCTCCAACACAGCGCTTCCCAAAGGTTCCTGAGACGGGTCCCAAGCGCCAGGGCAGCCCGAGCTCCGCTCTGGCGGTCGGCACCCCGGGGACCAGATGACTTCAGCCTCTGCAGCGCGGGTAGGGGTCTGCAACCCAGGCTAAGGCAGTGCCGCGGCTTTGGTTGGCTCCTGGGCTCCCCGGGGCAGCCGGCAGCCAGTGCCCACTAGCATGGCGCTCTGGCTCCCAGGGGTGGGGAGAAGCGGCCTCGGCACCCTGATCGGCCCCAGCCTGAATCTTTGAGGCTCGGCCAGTGCCTTCGCGTCACGGGCTTGGATGCTGTGGGCAGTGCGAGCCGGGAACCCGGCGGCCGAGGACCGGATTGGGCTTCTCCATTGCCCACCGCCCGGGCGCGCTGGCAGACAGGATGCTCTGGCCGCGACTGCGCGCTCCCTGAGGGCCAGAGGGGTGGACCCGAGAGGGGCGCGGCAATCGCGCCGAGGGCGTGCCCTGCCCCGGGCTGCAGCCGCCAGAGAGTGGGTGTCCGAACCCCCAGAGTCCAGCGAAGATCGCGCCAGTTCCGTCCTGGGTTGGGGCTGAGGCGCGGGAGACAAGAGCAAGCAGAGGCAGAGCTGGCGGGAGCCCAGCTGGCAGAGCCACCCGTTGGGTTCGTGTCTCCCTACTTCCCTGTGCTGAAGGTGACTGCGGCCCCCAGTGGCGAAGCCCGGGCTCAACGCGTCCTCCACTCTCCTCTTCGGGTGCACTCTGCTTGCCCTTCTGGGGCCTCAGACTGCAGTGCTTCGCGAGGTCGCTTTGCTCACTGATTTTTTCCCTCTTGACCGGTGTGGGCTTCCTTGGTACCCAGATTGGAGAAACTGGCGGCCACGTGACCCCCCCCCCACCACCAACACTCACTCACACACCCAACAGAATGGATTTCCAAAAATCTAATTGGATAGATGGATCAGAACTGGAGGCCTTTCCCAAGTCACCCAGTGCGCTGCAGTAGGACTGAAACGCAGCAGCTTGCCTGTGGTGCCACCATCTATACAGATCTCCCTGCACCTGGAGAAGTCACAGCAACAGCACTTTACAGCACAGAAAACGGAGTCACAGTTTCAAACCCAAGAAATAGCGTTTTGGAAATAAAACAAAACCCCTACAGAAGGGGGTAGCATCTCCCGGGGCTGCAGTAAGTGGCTTTTCCAGGAAAATGACCAAAATGCCAGCTCCAAGCTGGTTTTTGTGATCTGTGGTCCACATGCTGGCCTGGAGGGAGGAAGGGGAGGGGGAAGATGCAGGTCTCCATGGCAGCCTCCCTGCGTGGGCTGGCTGGGTGTGTGACTGGCGACCTCACTCTAAAAGTGAACCTGTTAATACATGGATACTTTAAATAATGTCTCAACACAGTAATAAGTGTTACCAGCTACAATTTCCCAGAACTTCTCCCTGCCCAAGTTTTCAAGACCATTTTGCTATATTACCTTACTGTGAAGACAAGACCAAATCCAGCTGGGGGGGGGGCAAAGGCATTTGAAAGGGGAAAATAGGGGTCAAGTTTACTTGATGTGTTGTATCTTACCTAGAGGTCCAAACTTGACATAATACTATTGCTTGGGATCTTGGTCACAATGCTCTGTGGGTTAGTTAGTATCCATTACTGAAACAAAAAGCTTGCTAATTTACAAAGATGACAAAGTAAGCAAGGGAAGGCAAAAACCCGAAGAATAAATTCGGTGGCCATGCTGAGTAAGAAGCCCATGGAAGAGAGCTTGGCCGCTGCAGCAGCCTGGCGTTGCTCTCATCTCTCATTGGATAGGTAGGCTGTTTAAGATCTAATCAGATACTTTTCCCCAAAGCTGGAGAGATGGCCCTGCAGTTAAGAGCACTGGATGCTTTTGCAGAGGAACCAGGTTTGGTTTCCAGCAGGCACAGTACAGTGAACAGCCATCTGTAACTCAGGTTCCAGGGTATCCTATGCCCTCTTTTGGCCTCCATGGGCACTGTACACACATGCTGTACCTACATACATGTGGGCAAAACATTCATGCACATAAAATTTAGATAAATATCCTTTTGGACATTTGAAACTATGAAATTTTCGGTTTAAAAACCGTATTAAAGGAACACACCTACTATATATAACTAACCCTACAATCACTCAGCTCTAGCCAGAAGTGGACCTCCAGGCTACTGACTTCTGTAAATTTGCCCCAGAACTGCCTAACACCTTGGGATATTCCTCTCATGATCTGTTTGGCAGCTCACTTCTCTGGAAGACAGAGTGATGTGCTTTGAACAACTGTCTCCAGAGGTCCAGGTAGGGACTACCCAGTAGAAGGTAGTTGAACCTTTAGGAATAGGGTCCTAGAACACAACCCTTAGGTCCCTGGGGGAATGTCCTTGAAGGGGATTGTGGGATCCTCGCCTCCTCTCTCTTTGTGCCTCCTAGTGGTCAAGTGAGAAGTTCTTCAAATGCCTTCCACCACTGCAGACAAATGAGCTTGTGCGAGCTTAGATCGCAACATCCAGCATTGTGAACTAAAACAAACCTTTCCTCTCAGTTAATTGTCACAAAGTTCTCTATAGTGGCAAGAAACTGACTGACCTACACAAGTATGGTAACACTGCTCCAGATGTTCTCCCTTGGAAGAAGATGGGTTTTAACACACACACACACACACACACACACACACACACAGTACAAACAGCGGAGAACATCCTTATGCACACTTCGTTGTGGCCACCTGAGAAGAAGTAGAGATCATTTCTGCACCATTCGTTGTACCCAGATAATAATCATTTATCTATGGACCCAAGGTATTAAGCTTGGGGGAAGGTACAAATTCATAGCACTATACACCAAAATAAGTAAATTTTTATTTGTTTATTCACATGTTTATTTAGGTATGGGGAGCAGAAATAGAGAATGAGATAGAAGCTGAACACCAGACCACCAAGTCAGGAAGGGAAACAGCATCCAAAATCATCCAGCCTCCTCTATTTTTCCCGTGTTTTGTGGTGTCCCACCCAGGCTGCTAAATTCTGCCTCCTAACATCATTAGTGAGGGTATGAAATCCCAAGGTCAAAGGGACAGTATTCAATTTGGAATATGAAGATGTGGTTTTAGACATCAATTAAATTATATGAACTATTATGTGAACTTGGACAATTCACTTGACCTACCTGCTTTTGATCCTCTGGCACTTGAAATGCAGGCTTCTACTTGAACTTAATACTTGAATGAAGAGACACAGGTAATTCCAATTATATAGAATCTGTGGTTGAGTATGAAACACATATATCTGTGCAGCCCGTGAAGTCAGGTCCATAAGTGTTCTGGTCAGTGAGACACTCGGAAGGCAGGGATCATTAATCAAATTATTCATTTGGATTTCTCTGAAACTAACATCCCCCCCAGGTCCATCTCACCTCAGTTCTTTCAAAACCTTTCTCCAATATCCCCAGATTCTCTCTAAATACACACATTTATTTGCTGCATATCTTTTCTTAAGCACTCTTATGTACTTCGTTATATGTGTACATATTTTCTCTCTTTAGAGGAGAGATGGGGACAGGGAAAACTGAGCAAAATCAAAATTCCCTTCAGCAACAAGGAATCACCCATGCATTCATACCTTTTTGTCTATCATAGTTAGACCTCCATGGGTGTACTTTAGATATACCTACGTATTAGAAAAGCACATAGGCTGCGGCATCATTAGTCCAAGATCATCTCCATTCACCTAATGACTACCTAGGCAACCTGAGACTGTCACTCACTCAACTTCTCCTGAGCTTTGGGTTCTTCAACTACAGAGGTGAGATGAGAGAACTCATAGGGTTTCTTGGAAGGTATTGAATAAATCCAAGAATAGGCTTCATCATAGACATTCAGCAAATGTATGTGGCAAGAGAAAGGAAAGAGAAATAAGGAAAGGAGGGAGGGAGGGATAGAGAGAGGGTGGGAAAGGGAGAGAGAACTGGAGGGAGGAAAAAGGGAGGGAAGGGAAAGAAAAGGCAGTAGGGAAGAAGGAAAGATGAGGGTAAGAGAGGAAGGAGAAGGGAAAAAAGAATACTTTTATCTTGGGCAGCTGAGCAAAATCTTGACTGTACCAATGAACAAGGGATTTGGCACAGGGACATGCTTCCCTCCTCTGGGCTGAAAGGTTAAACTGAGTCTCTTTGGCACCCCGGGAGATGTTGCTTTGCTGACTTAGAAAATGCCAGATAGCTCAACCTGAAGAAAAGCAATCATACCACTGTCAAAGGTGGCAAGCTCAGTGCTCAACAGTGCCCTCTGTTGCTTCTCTGAGAGGCCCAAGAATCCTGCTTCCTCACCATTCTTAGGGGTTCCAGGATTGTCACTTGTCGATACAGTGCTTACTCAGAGTTTTCTAGATCCCATCCTATTAAACCTCACTTGTCCTGTATTATATCTAAGGACTTAACAGGAATCAATCAGAAATCAATCTCAAGAATTAAGACATTGGTTTTAAATGATAGAAAAGTTGTTTCTAGCCTCTAACTTTACCTCCTAATGAAAGACTTTTGCTATAATTCCTATTCCCATAGAACCAGGCATCACTGGTGAGAATGCACAGCAATAGGCTTACAAGACATAAGTTTTGGGTAAGGTGAGGATCACAATGGTTCCCCAGTCCTAGTTCTTTGGTTGTGAGTCCAGTGGGTAGAGACTGGTATTAGCAGTTCGCTGATCATGTAAATGAGGCCTAGCAAGCCCTGTAAATTTCTGAACCATACTGTACAGATCTGAAAATAGAACAGAGTTCTAAAGGCATCACAGGGTTCACTGTGGACTTCTTCCTAAATTTCCGGAACTACTGTTTGGTGTGGAGTCAGAGTACCTCCATGCTGTTAGAGGGTTTCCCCAAGTTCAACTGGAGACTGGGGACCCCTTCAGACCAAGCTGAGCATAGTAGAATCCATGGTCACCTCTGGAAGGTGTGGTCCAGGAAACCAAGCTAGGAAACACTGCAATTTCATTATCTGTGAACCACTGTGTTCTACTATTCATTTGTTGCAAATAGCTTTTCTAGGCAGATGCTGCTACAGGGGATGTTTGGAAGTCCAGAGGATATTTATTGATATTATATTATATTATTATTATTATTATTATTATTATTATTATTATTATTGCTATTTTGGGCTGTCCAAATGCTTTATCATTTAATTTTGGAGGAATCTGTCATTGTGAAATTTTGATGCCTACATTTCTGAACCTTGATAACGGGGACATGGGAGGAGGCCTCACCTTCGCCTACCGATGCTCTTGCATGAGCCTGTGAGTCTGAAGCCAGCCGTGATGTCCCTCCTGACATCTATGATACAGTGCCCTTAGTCCAATTTTGAGAACCACAAAACCTTAACAGGCCATTTCCGTGGCATGACATTGGCTAGGATTTCAGCAACTTTTCCTCTCTTGCCAGATTCCTCAGTTCCTGTGCATTCTTCAAGCCTCGTTCTCTGGCCTGACTACTGCTACGGTTAACTTCTGATATCCTCCCAATAAATTCCTTTCTTACCCAACCAAGCAAACATGGTGCCTGATGCCGGAAAACTCAAAAGTCCTGCCTGACTGGTACATGAGAGATTGGCTTTCCACTCTCAGAAACTGTCATGCCCTGGAAATCACAGGCAGAGGATCTGGTCTGTAATGGAATGCAGTGTTGGAAACATATTCACAGTTCACAGGACCACAAGAGCATCCCACTGTTTCCTTCTCTGCATTTAGGGCTTGTTGAATGGCACGTGAGTCACAGTGTGGAACACCAAGCAAAGTGGGAGGAGG